GAAGGAAGGGGGGGAAGGGCAGGGGAGCGGGAAAGCGCGGCAATCTGTAGGGTCCCGGCAGGAAATTGGGATGGCAGACATCTCAGAATAGGAAAACAATCAGTATAGTGATGTTCACACAGCATAATCAATGAGAGGACTACCTGGTAAAAAATAAAGAAAATAAAGAAAATAAAGATAAAGAAAATAAAGAAGGAAGAGGACTACCTGGTCACAGACGTAGATTGCTTCTCTTCATCCTCAAGGCTGGAACAAAATTTCCAAAGAGTGCTTGTACGTGTCTCAATAGCTGTAGTGACGCGAAGTCATGTTGTGTTAGTTCACGATGGAAGAAACGAGGCGCAATAACAGACATACATGTGCGTTTCTCGAAAACACCACCTACTTCTCGCTGCCTCCTCCCTCTTTTGGCCTATTCCGGCTTCGCCACGTTTGGCGTCTGGGGCGCTCTGGCGGATCATTTCTTTTTCAGTGAATGCGAGATTATCCGCTTTGGTTTTGTTCCAACCACCTTCTTCTTTACACTTCGCAGCAGTCGCTCCTCGCGGACACATTTAGCACAGGTGCAAACAAAACCGTAGTCTCGCAGCGCTGCTCTCCTTTCTGGCAGCGAAGCTGCTTCATCAATATAAGAAATCCTGATCTCTTCACCAGGATCGATGTCCCTAATGGCCAACAACACCGCACTGCCATCCGTGTCTTCATCCCTCTTAAACGCCCTCGCATTTGGCACACACGAATGATTCATACAGCTCTGGAGACGGTAGAACGCGGTTCCTTCGCAGAAATCTGCATAACCCTGATCGAGGGCATCGAGAAGAGGTTTCGTAAGCTTCTCTGCTTCTGACTTTTCCGCCTCCGGGAGGTCGTGGATGTACAGGAAATAGTCCTCCACAGGAGACGCAACGACGACTGCCAAGTTATTTTGCTCGAACATACCGATTATCCGAGAATACACCTCAATCGAGAACAACGGATCGTATTGCTCTCGATAAAGTGCCTCTCGCAACAGCTCCAAAGAATCACTTGCGATCGTCTGGAGCTGAGCGCGGAACGCTGCTTCTTCTGGCTTATCCATTCCTTCCGGGCAAGCGACAGCCTCCCACCAGACCGTCTTGTGGCCCATTGCAAATGGCTCCCAGGCTGCCTTCAAGACCGCCATGTCGTCAAGATCACTGGTCTCTGCGTTTTCCCTCCCATCGTTCGACAACTGCAAAGTTGTGTCGTCAGCAATGCTGGATGGTGGACGCGTACTTTGTTCTGCTTTCCTGCCTCGGTTTTCTATCCTCTCTGCTCTGAGCAATGTGCTTGCTATGACCTGACCTGCTACGTGGAAGATGTCATTCGTCCCGTCTGCGTGCTGCTTGAATCTCAACAGCGCATCAACGCTCTTCGCGCGTGATCGTGGCCCCGTACATAACAAAGAATGATATGAATCCCACGCGTCATTGGCACATGCTTCGCTGCAGAAAACATCCTCCACACAGCCTCCAGGGCAACCCACAACAGCTGGAAGTTTAAACCCCTCGCTGTACGGTAAAGCCAAACTTCCCTCCACAAGGCCTTGCACTAGCTTCAGGAGCTCTCCTCTACAACTCTCCCCTTGAACAGACCTTGGCCTAGCTCCTGACGGTTCGGCTCCAACCAAAGGCGGGTCCCTTCCTTGCCCTCCTCCAACGTGCGGGTGATTCAGACAGGGATCTCTTGCGGAAAGAAGATGGCGACCACCCTCTTCCTTGCCCTCGCTATCGCCGTGCACTTCCATATCCAATGTCTGGACCTCTCCTTCCCTCACAGTAGTCTCACATGGTTTCAGTTTCACGACGCAACTTCGTTCCATCGTATCCGCTGACAATTCGGCTCCAGTCGGAGGGCAGTCGCTTACTTGCCCTCCAAGGTGGGGGTCATTCTGGCAAGGAGCACTTGTGACGACGAAGGGGCAACCCTCCTCCTCCGCCCCGACATTCTCTTCCTCTCGCTCCTTGCACCTGTGCACATCCTTGAGCGCCTCTTCCATGTTCTTGCCTTGTTTCTCTGCGTGGCTTTGTTCCACAGCCCCACCTGCCATTCCCACTTCATGCGAGTCTCCGATCTGCCGTCCATTCGCAAACACACCGACCTTTTTCACCTGCACTCCATTGCTGTTTGACAGGGTGGAAGCATCCATTTGGTCGCCATCGCCATCGACACCCTCACTCAAAAGTCGTCGTCCAATTTGCAGCTCAATCGACCCAACATATGTGGAGCAATGGCCACAGACAAGAGCGACATCCTTATTCAAAGTGTGCTGTGCACCGACAAGCTTCGACTCCTTCAACACCACCTCCTTTCTCTTGAACTGTCGTGTCGCGAACACACCCTTTCCCAATTTGAAACCGATGTGCCGTACTTGCAACCCTGGACTCAGTCCGGCGGCAGTGATCGCGTCGTAATATCTCGTCACATCATTCTCAGACGGAAGAGCAATCAAGCTGGCGACTCTTGGATCCATTTCTCCGCAGGACGTCTGTATGTGGTCAATGAAGAAGACCCAATAGGCAATGCCCGCATACGGATCAAGAACAAACTACTGGGTTTTTGTCATCAGGGACCCAAGGCCAAAATACTACTAACGAGGATCAAGCACTCGCAGAGATCAACAATGTCCACTACAGACTTTCAAAGAACACAGCTATGGGTGATGGCACACGTTTGTCGGATCTGTTCCTGGCTCAGTAGCTGGTCACTATCATTGTGTGTTAAATTAATTAAACAAACAAGTTAAACTAGGCTACCAGAGTGGCCCGGGACTACTTGCCCGGCCCGGCCAAAAAAAACAAAAATTTAATAATTTATATATATATTTTTAAAATATTTTTTTGTTTTCAATTTGGTAAAGAATTTCGATGTGACACTGAGCCAAAAGTTGTTCACTTTATTTTTCCACATAACATAGTTTTTTTTTTCAGATTTTAAAGCCTGGACCTTCTTTGGCCCTTGCACGGCCGGGCTGCCCGGGCAAACAACTGCTAGCCTAGAAGTTAAATTAATAAATTCCTCATTTTTATTTTTATTTTTTATTTTTAATTTAATTCCTAGTTTTCTATCAATAGATTCAATACCTTAAATTCTTAGTCTTCTATCGTTCGTTCTGAAGTTCCTTCTTCAATACCGTGCTGTGTTTTTCCTTTGTTAGTATCTTGGTAAACGTGAGCGTTTCACAACTTAGGGCCTTGCTCCACAACTCGGCAGTCTACATGCATCTGGAGGATTACCGGACCAGGTGCACTCCGACAAGTCCAACATTTTGAATGAATCGGGTCCAGAAAGCGTCCAAATGCATGTAGGAGCGATGCCCTTAGACACAATGGTACACTTAAGGTTTGGAGGTGGAATCCGAATGGACTGGGTGGGAAGCGGGATTCGGTGTTGCATTGGTAGTCTCTGCCATCTTTCCCCAAACAGCACATATGCATGGTATGGTCATTATGGGCCTCGCTGCACTACGCTAGACACATGAAAAATTTCAAGACTACGTCTAGCGCTGTCAGACTCCTGGATTGGCATCAAGTGCTGTCGTTGCTGCACTTACTCCGGACTCTCGACTCTTGTGAGCATTCTTGACTGTCGGACAGAAGATAGAGAAACTGAAAAGACACTACACGACAGGACAGCGACGACTTGTCCACCGAGACTGGAGGCCAACTCTCGAATTTGCAAACCGCACGAAGGGTCCGGTCGGCCTCGTTTGAAAATAACACCCCTGCAGGCGGGAACTGTGGAATCTTCAAGAGCTCGTCCGATGGGCCGTTTCTGACACCTCTTGAAGGACCGGACCAAGAGCACTTTTCCACAGTTAGTGCAGCGATGACTCATTCTCGACGTTTTCGAGAGAGAATCTGACAGCTCTTGAATGGAAATTCAGGACGCGGCATCAAGAGTTAGTGCACCGGTGATGAACTCTTGATTCCTCAAGATTCGAGAGTAGTGCAGCGAGGCCCTATAGCTGTATTTTTAGGGCAACTTTCAGTCTAGAATCTAGATACAGCGAGAATGACCATACGTGCAATTCGCGCGAAATAGCTGTATTGAGGGCAAATTTCAGTCTACCTACATAGAGAATGAGTGTGCAGTTCTATTTGTTACCAATGTATGTAGGTTCACTCTCTACGTTGTATCGTCTTCTAGAGTTCTTGGGGGTTAGCTATAGCCATTAATCACGCTATGATTTTTTTTTCCGTAAATATATTCTACTTGCTTCGCCTTGACTCATTCTGCTCTCGACCTTAATGTATATCACATTTAGGAAGATTTGCATTCCACATCAGTCCGGAGGAGGATATAGAGCAGAAGGCAGTGTTGCACACCCCAACCGTCGGCGACCCTTGACTGGTCGGCTGCCGATCCGCTGGTCAGCACCTACTGGTCGGGGGTTGTCAGCACCCCGCATTTTT